AATTTATCAAATCAAATCATGATTTTGGAAAATAAATTTACTGAAGGGTTATCCAGGGTCCTGAAAATAAGACAGGTAAAGAAACAAGATTTTGTATTTCAAATAAATGTCACAAAGATTCTTTTTTGGTTGCACGTAATTGTGAAATTCCATTTACACTGCAGTTTAAGCAGCAACGGAGGTATGGTCTTTATAATTTAGATATATAGGAGAATGACAGTAAAACATCTAGCCCAATAAGAAAACCTTTCATACTTTAAGGATTCAGTTGGACTATAGTTGCACAGATCTCATTTATTGAATTCGAGACGTGAAATGCAGATCTGTTTTCACTTCTGAAAAAGAAATTGCATATACTGAATGCCTTTCAAAATAGGAATAAAAGAAACATCCTAGTGTTTATTGGGGGGAAAACGGGTGACAAATAATTTGTACATTTATATTAGGGAAAGTTTATTTGATCATTCGTTTATGAGGCATTACGACTTTTAGGTTATATCTGAGCAGTTTCTTACATTAATTTGATTAAAAGGTTTCGAAGGGGTTTAATTCTTCCTGGTCATTGTCTTAAATGGAGAAAGTCCAATGAAACGATACAAATATGGAGTAGAGCAAACACGGGTCTCTAAGACATCAGAGGTGGGATTAGGTACCATAGAGGAGTGAGCATCCCCTGCCGACCGGTCACACCCGCCGTGTGCTCTTTGTCATGATCGGAAAAAAATTGGAAAAATCCGTAGAAAGTTCAATGTATAAAGAATGGCATAACAATTAGTATGAAAAACATCAATCAGCATTTGACTTAATGATAGGTTGTATGTACTGACAAGGTCATTGTATCGTCAGTAAAACTTGCGAAATGATGACTTCAAAGACTGTTGATATTCTTGTTTCATCAATTTGTTTGTCAATAGTTTGCCTCGTTTTAGAAATTGTTCATACGTAGAGCATGCTCTTGCGTATCGAATCAACTGAGAGACATAAACCCCATATGCAGGTTATAAGGGTATATTGCTACATAAGTAAGGGAAGTTGACGATTGAAAAGTTGAAGTCATCACGTTTATCATTAAGCTTTGTTGTTAGGTTACCATTAACGTCTATTTCTAGTAAAATATCTAAATATGAAACAGATGTGTCAGAATTTGTGGTATCTTTTGTTTCAAGCTCACTGGGATATATCGAGTCGACATATGAATGAAAGTAATTATTGTTAATTGATAATACGTCGTCGATATAACGAAATGTCGAGTTGAAGGCCACAGCAAGTGTTTTCTTCTTCTCGTGTAGAAGTTTTTGGATAGGATAAATTCTGCTTCATATGAATACAAAAATAGGTCTGTTAATAAGGGGCGCAATTGGTGCCCATGAAAATTCCAACGGATTGATGGAAGACCTGATCTCCAAAAACTACATAGATATTGTCAATCAGAAACTCAAACATCTTTTTAATATCAACTTCAGAGTACTTGCGTGTACAATCAGAATGCTTTCTAACAAAATAATTTTGCAAATGACCAATGACAAGGTAAGTATATTTACGACTTCCGTTTCCTTCTATGATGTCAAAAAGCCGAGACTTCAATTTATCGAGGGGAATGGTTGTATAAATTGTTGAAAAGTCGTATGTTTTGATGTTATTGATTTTAGTAAAATTTTGTGATTTCAAATCTACTAAAAGTTCTTTGGAGTTTTTAAGTATCCACATCTGACTTACACCACTTCTCAAATACTAGTATACTGTTGTACAGTACTCCTGAAGTTTCTCCTTCAATACAGTAAATATTTTAGTGAGGAGTAAAGAGAGAGGCTTTGGTAGAACATTCACTAGAACCCGCTATGTATCTTTGTTTGTAAGGATTTTTATGAAGTTTAGGAATCCAGTAAAAGTATGGTAATTCAAATTTATTTTGAATGTTGGGAATATTAAAAATATCTAAAACGGAAATAAGATTTTGAAGAATTTCATCCTTAGAAAGGGAGCTATAGGTGTAAGTTGGATCTCCACCTGCAGAATTAAATCCTAGTTCTATGTTGTTACCAGCTTTGTCCGTTGGGACCAGTATATACTGGTTGTGTATTCTATCTAATTCCTTTTTCACTTCTGAATTATTAAAGACAGAAGGATAAATAGTTTTCATACAGCCCCTCAATCGATTAATGCGAGATTTCAACATCCATCTAATGCTCGTAATCCATTCTGACAAAGTGTAACGGGTCTTCTTTGTCGTGTTTGGCCCATCGCCTGGCGTAATCTTCCACAGAATTCATAAAATTAATAAAATTATGACGCCAGTTGAAATGAATATTGAATGGCTTCAGGGGCTGTCATTGTTCTTAATGTGTCTTTATTTAATCTTTTTTATCACTTACATGATATATTTTTTTTAAATAACAATCATCGTTGAATTGTTTGTAGCATACCAATTTTGTTTACCTCATAGTTCATGTAATGTTTTATCTTCGCAGGTCCGTTCTAACGCGGGGAGAGCTCGAAGAAGGGGGATGATTGATTGTATATTGTTTAACGTCCCATTCGAGAATTTTCTCTCGTATACATGTATTCTTCCTGGGTTCTTTTTTGTCCGCGAGTGATCTCGGAAACTACTCATCCAACTGAGGTGAAACCATTTTAGGGTTAATAGACATGTTATGTAAATGGTCGGAACGAAGGTCATTTTGCGCGCACATGCATGCATGTGCAATGTGTAAAATGACCAATATATTCTATATAGCCGTAACTTTAATATTTTTTGATGAAATGCTTTGATACTCAGAATATAAAGACATATTAAAGTTCTAGACAGGAAGACATGGTCATCATGCACATGCATGCACGTGAGCGCGCGTGCAATACGTAAAATGACTAATATACTTGATGAAGTCGCAACTTTTAAATTTTTTTATGAAATGCTGTGATACTGAGAATTTAAAGACATATTTAAGTTGTAGACAAGATGACATGGTCATAATGCACATTCATGCACGTGCACGTGTGCAATGCGTAAAATGACGTAATACTTGATATAGCCGTAACTTTCATTTTTATTTATGAAATGCTTTAATACTGAGAATATAAATACAAATCAAAAGTGTATAAAGATGACTTGGTTATCATGCATCTGCATGCACGTGCGCGCGCGTTCAATATGTTAAATGACCAGTATACTTGATAGAGCCGTAACTTTTACATTACAAATGAAAGATATAGGCAAAATAACATGCTCATCATGCACATACCTGCACGTGCGCTCGCGAGCAATGCGTAAATGAACAATATACTTGATATAGCCGTAACATTTAATATTAATTTTTACAATGATATGCTTTGATACTCAAAATATAAAGATATGTTAAAAGTGTAGACAAAAGGATATGATCATCATGCACATGCATGCACGTGTGCGTGATTGCAATGAGTGAAATGTCCATGCAGTATATTTGATAAAAGAGTATAGATAGAGATGGTGAATATGGAAATTATTGAAATCATGTGCATGCACTGATATCTGATTAGCTTATTCTCACTTTGCTATACACATCTATATGCAATATTATACCCCCTAAATACTTCAAACAAGTATAAATCTACAATACAGAGATTTTGCCTTATAAATGAAGCTTGTAGGGAAGAGGGCACCGAAAAGGAGTTGGGAAGCGTTTGGGAAACACCTGCAACTGTCTCAGTTACAATTACAACTAGTTTTCACTGAATTTCACTTTTAATGTCGAGCGCTTGGCGAAGGAACAGTCACTAACCTATGCTGACGCCAACACCCTACCACTAGGTAACCGTGACCGGTGTGTGTGTGTTGGGGGGGGGGGATTTTCGTCTATCTTGCAAAACGTATACGTATATATATACATGTAAGTAATCTCTACGACTCTATGATCAAAAAAACAAAGTAGTAGTATAATTTGATTAATGACTATATCTGTAAATTTTAAATATATCTGATAGATTTAAATTCAAATCTTTTAGATATGCTGTGTTTTTTTTTAGTATCTCAATTAAGAAATTGATTTGAATGACATTTTCGTGTATACTCATGCGTAGAAATATATACGGAGAAACTCGCACTAAAGTGACATCACAATATGAGGCTACAGAGATGTTAATAAGCGATATAAGGCAGCGAGAAAATCAAACAGAGTTATTTTTGCCGATTTAAAACACGTAAAAATGTAAATATACTATAGGGAATGTTTTAGGTTTTGTGCGAGTTAAAAATATGCCTAGTAAATACAAGTCTGTTTACATACTAATAACTAACACAGAACTTAAAAACATTCCTTAACACTTACATTATGACTAAAATGTGAGATTGTAAATTCATATTTACAGGGTGCATGTAAATTTCAAAACTTTCACTAAAACACAATGTCATAATAATTCCATTAAATTATTTGAACACTTAAACAGTAAAATGTTTTCTTTCTTTGTTCATGTTGGAATTGACGGTTGCAACTAATGCAAAAAAAAAATATATTTCTCCAATATTTGCGACCGTTAATCCCGCATAAACAAATTAACATGGAAAGACTTTTTATCGTTCAAATTTATGCCTGTATAATCGTATAAGGTTTAAGGTCATAACATATCAGTAAAAAATATTGATCTGCACGTCACAGTATAACTGGATGGAGAGCCCAGTGCTTAAGAAATCTTTCATACAGGTGGTCTGGAAAAAACAGTTTTAAATATAGTCCAATTACTTTAGTTCAAGCTTGCAAAATCAACAATTTTGTTCACAAAATTCCTGTTTAACATATGAGGGGTGATCAAAAACTATCTCCATTTACAAAACCACAATTCAGATCAGCATATGCGCAGAACAATGGCAGATGTGCATTAAAATTGGAGAGGACTACTTTAAAAAAAAATAATGAACACTGAAACCTCATTTTATCTCTTTTAAGGAAGTAATTCAATTAGTTCGCGAACTTTTTGATCACCCCTCGTATATAATTTTATTGATAAATGGGAACTATGACATCAACTTGGTCGAACAGAATATGTTTTATTATTGAAATCACAAAATTCGAAATAAAACCGTCAATGGGGCGAGGACAACAAGGAATTAGTCAACAACAAGTATTTCAATACCATGGTCTTCGTAGAACATAATTTATTACACAAATCCATAAATTAATGGGAAGGTTTCCGAAAATATTTGCGTTGTGCTTAAAGAAAAACACTAGAAAATACGTAACAAGTAAACAGTTGTATTTTTGTGTATATAATATAAGTGCCTGTTATATAAAAGATTACTAGTATTAAATGTCTTTCTAAATATATCAAACCGTAGCAGTTAAAAATACATGGGCCTCGTCGGATAGTAATCGACCTTATGGCAAAATTTATCGAATATATAACTCTGCTGCAACAGTCTGACAGTCTGATATTTTCATAAGTTTTTATATCCGTTTAACAGAGATGCAGATTGTCACGCACACGCATTTGATGTACAGACAATTTACACAATTTCTTCTCTGTATTCGTTATCTTTGAATATACTAGTATTCATATACGAGTCTTTAGTATCTTCACCACTTGACATGGCTAAAACATATAAAAACAACAATATAATTAGAAAATACAACAAAATCTTAACTGGCCAGCTAACAAAACCACCAACAAACATATAAATCAAATTAATCAAATTACTTAAACTTCTGTCTGGGAAATAAACCAAAAAACATCGCTAGTGTCTGACTGAAAATTCCTGATATTTAACAGATGAAATTGTCTTTTCATTTTTGAACACTGCACGGTCAATTCTTGAACTTGGACTTCCTTTTGTTTGTAACCAAGTCTTCCTGAAAAAAAATCAAGATTTGAGAATATCAAAATTTAAATTTTTTAGCTTATTTGAATTTATCATGATTATATTACATATCATAAAGGTTTCCTAATTTTTAATCCCTCAAAAGCTAGAAAATGACTTAATACATATAACAGTCACAAATATTTGTTTTGAAAAAAAAATAAACAAGCCAAAATGAAATTTGTAAGTGTTGTCGTGTTCCTGTGCCTGATAAGGAACTTTGAGGATGTCAGTATTTTTGGTAATTTGTATATGACGCCACAAAGGTAAACACATTGCAGATTTTTATTTGACAAAGTAAAATTAATCAGAATGGACATAAGGATTTCATTTATGTATCAATAAATGACAAAAAAATTAATGAACAAAATGAACATACTTCTCTTAGATTTAAATAGATATATGCTGAAACGCGAAAGAAACGCAACATCCTTATTTTAAGGGGAAAATTATATACAGGTTATAACTTTGTACTTAAAAAGTTAGGACATCAACTTTGCCAAATCAGCAATTTAACAGTTGAATGATTTTCATTCCATTACCGGAAGTTGATTTTGAGCCCTTTTAACAGAAATCCAAAATTGCATGTTTAATAAAACATTTGACAATAATTTGGGTTTTCAAGGGTACAGTGTATGTTGCTGTTAATCAAAAGTATTGCACTAATATTCCAAAAAAAATCCTTCTTTCTTTTCCCGATGTGATGCCAATATTTCCTCAAAATGACTGAAAGCAAGCATTTTCATTGTTCTTGATGGAAATTCTCAAAGTAAAGGTAAAGAAGATTTGCAGATGCAAATATGCACTACATAACGACTCATCAGGCTCATGCGTTTCATAAGCATGAATGACAGTTCTTTGACCGGAAGTCCAAGGGTTACTAAACTACGCCAGTTTAGAGAAAATTCGACCTCAGCATCTGAAAAACAGGCACTTAAAAATGCCTAAGAATATTTATTTCGCTCAGATCAAGAGATTGATAAACCTAGTGCATCGTAGAAATCGAGCTGCAATTGTTGTACATGGCGGAATAGCAAGCTGAAATTGAATGGTCGGAGGGGGGGGGGGGGTTAAAGTTATGTGTTACTTTCTGAGGTTTAAAGATAACATTCAAAAATGAATACAGTAAGGTAAAAAGTTTATTTACAAATATCAGATATTGGTTTAAACGTTAAATGTTATCTTTAAACCTAAAAAAGTAACATAACTCTTAAAACATCCCCCCTTCCGACCATTCAATTTCAGCTTGCTAGTCCGCCATGTACAACAATTGCAGCTTGATTTCTACGATGCACTAGGTTTATCAATCTCTTGATCTGAGCGAAATAAATATTCTTAGGCATTTATAAGCGCCTGTTTTTCAGATGCTGAGGTCGAATTTTCTCTAACCTGGCGTAGTATACAGGCCCGTAGGAAGCAAATTCAGTTTGGGGGGGCACAGCCATACATTTTCAGTTGACAGTTGAGGGAACACTAACCAAAAAATCTCCTGACAAGCAAAATAAAAAAAAAAAGGTCATCAGACGTTTTTTTTGAGGGGGCACAAGCATATAGTATCTAAGTTTTCTATAGTAACCTATATATCGGCAAAATTATTGGGGGGCACGGCCCTCCGTGCCCCCCCCCCGGTTCCTACGGCCATGAGTGTAGTAACCCTTGGACTTCCGGTCAAAGAACTGTCATTCATGCTTATGAAACGCATGAGCCTGACGAGTCGTTATGTAGTGCATATTTGCATCTGCAACTCTCCTTTACCTTTATTTTGAGAATTTCCATCAAGAACAATGAAAATGCCTGCTTTCAGTCATTTTAAGGAAATATTGGCATCACATCGGGAAAAGAAATAAGGATTCTTTTTCCCTGAGTATTAGTGCAACACTTATGATTAACAGCTACAAACCCTTGAAAACCCAAATTACTGTCAAATGTTTTATTAAACATGTAATTTTTGCTTCCGGTAAAAAGGGCTCAAAATCAACTTCCGGTAATGGAATGAAAATCATTCAACCGTTAAATTGCTGATTTGGCAAAGTTTAAGATGTCCTAACTTTTTGAAGTACAAAGTTAAAACCTGTATATAGTTTTCCCCCTAAAATTAGGATGTTGCGTTTCTTTTGTGTTTCAGTATATTAGTGTTACACTTAAATTAACAAAATGGAAAATGGTATTGAGAGATCATGTTTCACAAAACAATTATATAATTTACATCTGTTTGACTTTGTCCTCGGCCCCCTGGACCTCGCCCTCCACTGTTTTCTGGTTCGTGTTCCTGACCCAGCCTACTAACCCCAGGGACTTAGCCGTCTTCTGGGTGTGCTGATTAACAGGGGAAAGACAAATATTAATTGCAGATCTCATTAATTTTTAAAGGCATTAACTTCTCAAATATATAAATACAAAGTAAAATTATTCCCAAAATAAGGGAAAACAAAAATGCTTTTTTATTCAATTGTTAAATATTTATCTTTTTCTTTTGTCCTTTTCATATTTTTTTTCCAAATCAACAATACAATGATAATTGTAGCTAGTGTTTGGCTTTATGAAAGTAAACTTACCTTTCTAAAGAATACACCTGAAAATAAAAAAATAAATATTAAATCATTAATAAAAATACTTTTCTCGAAGCCGTTCTAGATTTATAGAGAAGCCTAGTGTTATTAATTTTGAAATAAAGCAGCTTGCTCTTGTTTCATATCTACAGTTTTCCTTTTTAATTCATATTTTGACATACTTAAGACTTATTTAACAGTGTATATTACATGTACTACTTAGTATTATATAGTCATGTAAGTGTATTAAAAAATTTATAGTTATTATTCCACTTTTTTAAAAAAGTTTTTTCCTGATTTTTTTTAAAAAAAGATCTTTAATGTGAATTTAATTTTCTCACAACAGATGGAAATACCTTAATCTTATATAATAAAGTACCATTTTGATTGTTCTCCAACCAATTTGCTATTGAAAATTTAGGTACAGTGTAGAGAAACTTTATTTTATGTATAAAATATTTCCCAGTGGTGAGCTGATGAAAAGACAGAAATCTTGACAAGAAACAAAAGTAATGAAAACCATGTTATTTTGGGGTTGATTGCTGAATTTAAAGCCAAAGATAAAATAAAACACCCATTTAGACTGGTTATTAGGGTCAGGGTAATGGGCAGCATACATAATGAATGTTAATGAATTAGGCTGATCATGAATTAATGAGAATGTTTCCCAAAATATGCCTTCGTTAGATACAAAGACAATTAACATTAATCAATCTGATGAATATGTACAAAATCGACATTGTGTATGTATGCACTATTCGATCATTATAGTAGTGTAATTAACACCTGCTTTTATTGGAGAAGCATTTAATTCCTATGAGAAAAGAATCATTAATTCTTACAGTGTTTTCCCTTAAAGAACCGGCTACCGGCCAAACTGACCACTTCATTTGATGAAAATGCCACTTAGAAATCAAAAATTTAAACAATAATTGTTGTAAGGTCCACAGAGATTTTGTTCATATACCTTACCCCCTAGCCTGTTACAATTGATCTATAACCCTAATACTTTGATATAAAGAGAAAACACTGTACTTATTATTTCAGAATTATCTTACCCAAAAGGGTTCCCCTCTATACTGATTAAACAGATTTTAGTTTTAATCATGCACATATATTAGCATGTACATGAACTAGCAGAAAAAAAATGAGCATTTGCAAAAAAAGAGTATGGCTACTGCTAAAATAGTCATAATTCCCTATCTCGACCTTAATAAGACCCAAAAAACTTCAAAATATCTGGGTATTCAAGAAACTAAGGTTAAAGAAAAAGTAGTTGGGGCTTCAAGCTGACTTAAAGATATACATGCATGGAATTTGATACATTCGATTTTGAGTTAAAGAACTTCAACTGTTACAGTATGTGTTCAGAATGCATTTGTCTTATACACAGGCACCTTACTTATTTTTCTTTTAATAAAAAAAATATACCCCCTACAGTACCTTATAATTTACAGTGAATAATTAGGTATGGGGTATATTTTTTTTTTTATTAAAAGAAAAATAAGTAACTTCAGGTGCCTGTGGTCTTATAATTATTTATATAAATGTTGAAATATTTTTAAGTTACAATGAAACATAAAGAAATGAAATCTACATAATTATGTTAAACACTGTGAACAATCTGGGTAAGCATTTACTGTAAGGTATACTAATTGAACATGAATAATTCTCTTCGTAACTCCTCAGACTTTTCCATTTAGTTTTTAGATAATTAGTTAAATGTACTTTGATATGTCATACAAAGCACATCATTTAGAAATGATAAATTAGACATAAACATTTCAATTATAATGGGAAAGGAGAAAAATGCAATGGACCAGACCGGGACTTGAACCCGGGCCACCTGAATCTCTAGTTAGGTGCTCTACTAACTGAGCTACCTGGCCACAGGTGATCGAATCTGTCTGACTGCCACACAATTGACTTTTAATCATACTGATTATTTAAGAAATAAGGTATCCTTTTTATAAACATCTATCGGGATATAAATACGGGTTGGTCACGAGATCAAATTCCATGAAGCCTGAAAGGTTTTATGGTAAATATGATCTCGTACCAACTCATATTTATATCCTGATAGATGTTTTAAAATGATACCTTATTACTTATATTTACATTTGTGACTTATTCATATTTCATATTTGCCTGATTATAATCTTTAACCTGTGAAATGTTTTATTTTTCAAACTCGGCATGAGTTTGATTTATTGATTGCTTGCTGACCCTTTATGATGTCACTGAGAAATTACGTCGAACATTTAAGACGTGAGGAACCTGTGTTTATACGGATATAGATACACATTGCTTTCAATAGTGTTATATAAACAAAAGCATTTGCAAATGTAAATATATGGTTATATTCTTTAATTGGGCTATAATTTTGCAACTAATTTTTCATTGCTGAAGTTCTATTTTTTTTATTATTATTATTTAGTGATATACAGACTGAGCAAAATCACAGTTTATAAATCTTATGAAACCCTTTTCAAACCAAAACAAAATTTTAACACCTGCAAGTTCAAAACACATGATATTGCTTAGGCACTGTATTTATATTTTTTATCACTGGAAGGGAAGAAAAATCCCTTTGTGTAAAAATAATTCTAAAAATTATCTGACCTATGAATATTTTTACTATTTTGAACAGGCTCTTTACAAATTAATTTATTTGCATGGGAAGATTCTGCATTTGTCTGACATTATATTTAAAGGGACATAGACACAGATTTGAAGTTAATATTTTCTCAAATTTTCTGTATAATATCATGACTTATATGTTGCTATAGTATTTCACACAGAAACATAATTAAAAAAAACTTATTTTATCTGGAAATTATTGAAACTAAGAATTTCGGGACACGTTTGATTGACACATCCTAGCACTTTCACAAAGTAAACTTTATCCTTAACACTTAAGAAAAGTAGAAAATTTGTTGTGTATTAATGAAAATAATTAAAACTATAATCCAGAAATTCAGAGTGGAAATGTGAGAAAGCAAAACCAACTCACCAGTATTGTCAGTCCATGTTCATTGATGTGTGCAGAGTTTAACAAATTGAACACATCCAGTAAAACATAAACATTAACAATAACAGAGCTCACGCCCTGTTTACAAAAACAGTTTACGTTTCACCATTCATAAGTTTTTTTATTATATTTCCGTGTGAAATGCTATAGCAACATATAAGTCATAATATCATACAGAGAATTTGAGAAAATATTAACTTCAAAATCTGTGTCTTCAAAATCTGTGTCTATGTCCCTTTAAAGCCTTTATGAAGTGTAATGCACTATATATAATTGTATCTATGTACTGGTATTTTATACATACAGTTGGAAATCCGCTGATTTTTACATCTACGTAGACCTAAAAATGTACTTTAAATCAACTTCAAGGGTATAACAAATCAAAAGTTTGAAATTTGTCTCAGATTCCGCAGGAGACCCCCCCCCCCCCCTCTTTTCCATTTTTCCCTGAAGCAAACTTAATGTTTACTACCTATGTCATCATAGGATTAGTCAATCTACAATGCATGTGTATTTGTCAATTTTTGTGTAACTTTGGGTGCAGTAATATTTTATTTTTAACGCAACAATATTCGGAAAATTATCTTTAGAGATAATTCGAATTGAACTGAAAATGCATCAAACACTATTGTTCTACTTGTATAAATATAAACAGCTTTACCTTGAACTTTGCCAAATACTTCGTACTCAACTGAAACAAGTTTTGCCCCTGCCATTCCGGCATGCAAAAGTGCAGAGAAGCGAATGTGACTTCTTTGTTGACAACAATCGCAGTACTGGAAGTCTGTAAAGGTCACTAGTTACAAGCTCGACACGATGCAACTATTTGATATCCGGTATTAGGCAGACTGCTTTATTTATTTTTAGCTCACCTGAGCCGAAGGCTCAAGTGAGCTTTTCTGATCACATTTTGTCTGTAGTCCGTCTGTCCGTCTGTCTGTCCGTCTGTCCATCTGTAAACTTTTCACATTTTCGACTTCTTCTCAAGAACCACTGGGCCAATTTCAACCAAACTTGCCACAAAGTATCCTTGGGTAAAGGGGATTCAAGTTTGTTCAAATGAAGGGCCACGCCTTCTTCCAAGGGGAGATAATTAAGAATTCGTGAAAAATTAATGGCATCATTAAAAAATCTTCTTCTCAAGAACCACTGTGCTTGAAAACATGAAACTTATGTGGAAGCATCCTCAGGTAGTGTAGATTCAAGTTTGTTCAAATCATGACCCCCGGGGGTAGGGTGGGGCCGCAATGGGCGATCAAAGTTTTACATAGGAAATATACAGGAAAAATCTTTAAAAATCTTCTTCTCAAGAACAGCAAAGCCATGATTGGTCATATTGATATGGTAGCATCCTCAGGTAGTGTAGATTCAAGTTTGTTCAACTCATGACCCCCGGGGGTCGGGTGGGACCACAATGGGCAATCAAAGTTTTACATAGGAATATATAGGAAAAATCTTTAAAAATCTTCTTCTCAACAACAGCAAAGCCACGATTGGTCATATTTATATGGTAGCATCCTCAGATAGTGTACATACAAATTTGTTCGATTCATGACCCCCGGGGGTCGGGTGGGGCCACAATGGGCGATCAAAGTTTTACATAGGAACACATAGTAAAAATCTTTTAAAAAACTATTTGTTAAGAATAGCAAAGCCATGATTGGTCATATTTATATGGAAGCATTCTTAGATAGTGTACATTCAAGTTTGTTCAAACATGACCTCTGGGGGTCGGGTGGGGCCACAATGGGTGATCAAAGTTTTACATAGGAATACATAGGTTAAATCTTTAAAAATCTTCTACTCAAGAACAGCAAAGCCATGATTGGTCATATTTAAATGGAAGCATCCTCAGATAATGTAGATTCAAATTTGTTCAATTCATGACACCCCCCCCCCCCAACCACTTTTATATTTAAACTTTTCAACCTTTCAAGATTGAAGTGATTTCTGCTTTTTCCTAGCCATAGTGCTCAGGTGAGCGATGTGGCCCCTGGGCCTCTTGTTTAAAGTATGGGGGAGCCAGAAAAAAAATGACTGGAAAAACTTTGACAAGGAAAAAACATTGCAGAACTCCCAAAATCCTATTTTGGAGGGAGGAAGGTGTAGTTTCCAACTTTATTTCATTACCAAAATTTACTGATACATTAAGGAGGGATTCTTGTCTGGTTTCTGACTAGACGATATATTCGAACTGTATATTTGCTTGCTGTAATTGATCAGTTTAAAAGATTAATATTTTTCTTTACTCATCACAATTGTACAATCTTAAATAGAAATAGTGAACTGAGTTTGAAATCTAGCAGGCGGAACGGTGGCATATCAAAATCACGCACAGAACAATACATTTAGCAGGGACCTATATATACATGTAGTAGGCTATATAGGTCCCTGCATTTAGTTAAAAAAATCAAAGAAATGTAACTGATATTAATAAAAACGCCCTAAAGTTTTTAAATATATCACATTTATAAATATGATTTTCTAAACAAACTACAATTTTGTTAGCTTTTGAATGCTTCCAATCTGAAAACAGATTTGAGCAAAAAATCATGACAAAGTGTTTCTTCTCTCTTACTAAACTGTCAAAACTTTTTGTTTTTGCATGATTTTGTATCTTTATACGACTACTTTACCATGTGTGAAAATAAGAAATAGTTAGATATAAGAAGTGTATAAAAATAACAAATATATCTTAAAAATTTAAGAAAAACAGAAGAAAATTCGGATTAGCCAATATCTATTTAAGTTAAATTATTTATGTCAGTTTGGTAGAATCATCTGATAGACCCGATATAGAAACATTTCTTTATGTAAAAAAGCAAAAACATTTAATCTTTCAAAATAGAAATAGGTATCACCTGATTAGCGACAGTTTTTTTTATTATAAATCTCAAGGGAAAAAGAAAATGACCATGACCTGACCTTGCTTCTATATAAAACGGTTAATCTAATTGCAACCATCACCTAGTGATAATGTCTTCTTTAATATATGAAAATGTCATTAATTTTTAAACACAAGGAATATGAGAAGAATATGACCAGAATCCCTCCTGAACACATTACCTTGATTTAACCATATACCTCAACAAAACGAGGGGGGGGGGGGGGGGGAACAACCTTTCAATGAACATTTTCAACAGTAAAAAGTTATGTTTGGAAAAAAGTGCCCCCGATACTACGTGCCTGGAATATGAGAATTTTTTAACATTAATAAGATAGTGGGGCGAAGTATTCAATATTTTGCATGATTCAACGCATTCACTTTTTTTGTATTTATACAAATATTTTAAAAGCTAGTCCTGCCCGTTTTTAATCTCTATATACTCATGACAGATGCAAAGTATAAAACATACAGAACTATATACGATTATTATGTCACAGAGAGTCGTTAAACAACCACAGAACCCCATAATAATGTCAATACTACCTAGGGATAATATCCAATTAATAGGCCATCTTGGCATAATTAATGTCCAGTTCTATCCAGAAATATAGCATTTGGTTAAATACCTAATAGTTATGAGTTATCAGCGTTTATAACAATATGGTTACTGCTGCGATGAATCAGAACAAACGTAAGGATTGATCGGCGCAACAATTTCCGGACAATTTGCACCTGACAAGTATATAAAAGAAGGTTCCTAAATCTCAGTCCCCAGACCGGACACATTTTAACGGACAAGGTAAGTTAGGAAACGTTGTTGTCTGTCCATATGTCATCTGTTCCTTCAGATCTAACGACTAATTAATTGTGCAAAATATATCAATTAACAACGACATCATTTTTTTTTTGTACTAAACATAACTTAAGCATGGTACATGTGTATTTATCTTGATAATCAGCGGACGTAAACGGCCAAAAAATCTTCTTTCGTTTGAAGTTGATAGAGACATTATTTTGCTTCTAGCCAAAAAAAAGTCTTGAGTATTTCCAAATATTTTTAATCGTTTTTTTTTCAGAGTTGATTTTTCTATTTCCAGGATGAAAGTTTTTCTGGTTCTCCTGAGCGCTACCTTCTGTTATGGACTTCATATCCTCCCTTGTGAGCCTGGGGACCCAGGACCCCTGGGATGTGATGCCTACAGGAGGAACGGCGGACGTCTGGACGTAGGAGGCGCTGGAAGAGGTTCCATGAACTCTATTGGGTTCGAACAGAACGCAAATGTTGGGTTCGGGAACGAACTCAACAGTTTTGTTGAGCCAAGACTTGAGTTTGGATTTGACGGAGGTGTTGTAAATGACTTAAACTCTGGATTCAATACAGACGTCGGACTGGTTGATACTGGTTTAGACAATGGATTCCAGAACGACTTGAGCGGTGTAGCATTTGCCACTAGAGGACTTAGTTTGGACTCTAATATTGGAGTCGGTGGGGGTCCAGATGCCAGCCTTGGAGCTGGTATTGGGGGAGGTTTTGATGCTGGTTTTGATGTGAACTCAGGTATTGATGGATCATTTATTGGAGGAGATGTAGGTCTTGACGGAAAGGGAGGAATAATTGGTCGACCATCGTTTGGGGGAAATGACGGTATAATTGGAGGATTTGATGGGGGAAGAGGTAGTGATATAGGAGGAATTGATGGAGGAATTGGTCTAGGAGGAGGCATTGCCGGTGTCCCTTTTGGTGGTGGTGCTGGTTTCGGACAGGATAATGGCTTCGGTGCTGGAATCGGCGGAGGAAATATTGGCGGATCCCTTGGTCCTGCTGTTGGTAAGGACAGGGAATTTGGACTTGGTAGGGGTGGATTTGGAAAAGGAATTGGAGGTGGCAAGAGATGGGGATCTGGAGGAAGGGGAATTGGATTTGGAAAAGGCTCTTTTGGAATCGGAGACAGAAAAGGTATTAGCAGTGGTCTTGGAATTGGAGGAGGAAAGGGTATCGGAGGTGGTTTAAGATTCGGCAGTGGCGGAAAACACATTAGAGGGGGTTTAGGATTTGGAGGAATGGAAAGAAAGAGATTCGGTAAAAGAAGACCTCTTGGACCACGACCAAAATTTGGCCAATCATATCCATCCCGGTATAGGAAAGGGGGCTCAGTATTCAAAAACAGACGACCCAGTATCTTACCCATCAAAAGACCACACCTTAGTTACGGACTCCGAAGCCCGGTCTCATACTTACAAAGACCTTATCGTAGAATTTCTAATTACCCCAAGAATATGCCGATGAGACCAATCCGACGCATCGGCTCTGGATATTAAAATATTTGGTAAGTTGAAACCTGTAGAATTTGAAATATTTGCAAATTAAACAAAATACAAATGTACAAATATACATTCTATTTAAAACGACGAGGTTTAAATCAGTCGCTAAAGTTTATTTTAGAGGTCACTTTCAGATTTTTAAATTCCTTTTCATTTCCGGCCAATTCAAGGTCATGTTACATTCCTTTCCTATGACAATATTTTTTTCTGTTATTCATACGCGATATACTGTGTAATAAAATATGGGTGTTTTGAATTCCTCTAAAGGTAAGCAAAGTGAAGCTGTCCATAAGAAATCTCCAAACAGCCGAGACCTTTGCGAGAACTCTGGACGAGAATACAAACATAATGATGGCTTCTTGTTCTTAACTGTTTTTAATGTTTTGTATATTTTGTTTTTATTTATTTAATAAATTATTTGGAACATTAAAAAAAATATCTTTGAAAATATGGCAACTCATTCGAAGTAACGGAATTGGATGGATCGCTATGCGATTTATGGATATATGTGTAATATTCACCAGGAAATATAATTTACTTTATTCTGTAAAACTCTTAAAACGTGCTATGCAGGGTACTGCCTATTAACCTGGTGTGACTTAGAGTAGCATCGACCGTGATTGTTTTATGAAATTTTTTGATACAAATGGAACTTTACATCAGCGTGGGGAAATTTCACATAAGTACATGTACATGTATATGATATATAATTCTTCTCTCCAGCATTTGGTAAGCAGATCAAAATTTAAGACAATTTATCTTGCTCATCTTTGGTAAATTGAGTGGTATAAAACACAACAACTACATGTGTAAATTCACGAATTCTATATTCCACTCATTACAACAATCATAAAAAAGAAGTGATTAAATGTATTATACCTATATGCTTTTGACGAACATTTCTATGCTTGTCAATTATGTAATACAAACACCTTAGCACATTCATTTGTCAAACGGTCCGAGCTGTCAAGTAATTTATCATCAGAGCAATGCAATTGTTACTTTAGGTTACCGTTATAGGAAATAAAAATGCATATAAATAATTATTACAATTTAGGTCAATCGGTGAACCTGTTTAATTGCTGATGTTAATCTGTCAACAAATGACACGAAGTGTGTACATGTGTCCAAATGATCCGAAGTATAAAAGAATCAAAATGTTTCGGAATATCTTTGTGCATTTCAACAGAGAAAAGAATTACATGTACTTTTTATACGGAATTAGGCACTGTGAAAATTACTAGATAGCAATTTGATTCTGGGTAGGGGTTGGAGTGCCCATCTTAACAGAAATACCTTGACAAGCAAAATAATAATTATCATAATGAAATAAAATAAAATACCAAGGGGTAATCATTGTAGGACACTACCGTAAATTAGCTTTATTTTCTACTCTGTAGTATATATAGACAAAAATAATGGGGACATGTCCATTTGCTGGGCCTGCTAGATAAACTATCTAAAGCCAAATTTCCGATCTATTTGTTGCTTCTATGTAATATTTTGTTCATTGGTAGTAGTTTCCGGTAGTAATTGTATCTAAATAATAAACTTTTGTTTTCTCCATATATAAATATATCTATACGCACAATATTATGATGCCTTAGTTCCTAAAAGAGTTTCAGCAAAATAAATAATTTTTTTTTTTTTAAACAAACTGTATTAATTAATGAAATAATTAATAATATAATATTCTTATCATCATTATTTACCTCAAAATTATTTTGAAACTGAGTTGTATGACCATGATAAATGTACGTTTTGTACATTTTACAAATTTTTGTTATTTACAGTTTGTTCATAGCATAGTATCTTTATTTCCTTTCTTCAGAGCCAAAGAATATTGGTCCATATTAATGGAAATTCTTAAAATCATTTAATAGATATTGGTTTTAGGGATTTGCAAGGGCAAAAAGATAATCAAATGTCAAACGCTTTTGATATTGATACTGTTAAATGGCAAAATTACAATTAATGTATCAACACCGGTGAAGACATGAACAGTGGCAATGGTGAAACAGAAAGTCAGGGATTTTATGAAATCTAAACATGTATAAAAGCTAATTATTAGTTAGACATGTCAATCAAACTTAAATAAAAACATTTTATATTATTTCAAGAAAATTTCAGTTCCGTCCAACAGAGAAAATATTAATGAACAGGTTCAGTGAAGTCCAGGATGTGTATTGCTTTGATGTGAAATTAAACTTTTAAAGAAAGAAAATACAAATAAAATCATGAAAGAAATAAATTTCCCCGAAAAGGGTACAGTAAAAGTTAGCTATACTTGCACAATGAACAGATTTGCATTTCCAGAAAGGAAGTCTTGTTAACAATATCATTGCAAACATGAAAGAAATTAAATGTACGTTTCACATGATCGTGACTGCAAGGCAGTCGGAACGGAGAATGCTTTGGATCTCCCCCACCCACCCCTTTTTTTCTTATAAAAAAAGATTATTCGGAAGTTTTATTTTTATGACAAAATGAATTTATCATTCCTCTGTTTAAAGTAAAGATGCTAGAAACTGTTTATTTAATATATGAAAAGAATGCACCAGAAACATCAAAATGCTACCCATTCATTTTAAAAAAGTTAGCTAAGAGGAAGGTGTACTCCTCTTAGACCCTCCCCCCCCCCTTTCCGGAAACTTAGCGGAGGCTCTGTGGCTCTTGGTGCATAACAAACAAGAGTAGCCCTTGTGCAAATGGTGACAATTCAACAGAGTTTTAATCTATCGGCCTTGAAAATATCACAAAAGTCATTACTAGTTCACATACTATAATCACATTATTGGAATCGAAAAGATGGAATGGCCATTTTCAGAAAGTACAAAACGGACTTTTACAGCTACCAGCATTTTAAATAAATACTTAAAATTCAATTGACATAATTTCGTAAGTTGATAAATTCGTATAATGGAGGAGACATTTGTTTCGGCAAAGACGCTTATCTGTTCGTTACAAAATAACTCGAGAACTCTTAACTGAAATGGTTTCAGACTAGTATGTATATTAAGACTTTGATTTAAGGTTATATCTCAAAGGTCAAGGCCACTAAGCAATGTATCCAGACTTTAACTTGAACGCAGGAGTTTCACTTTCAGTACCTTGACTTAAAATCAAATCTCAGGAAAGGTCACCAGCGATGTTATAATTTAATGAAATTGTGTCGAGGCCCTAACTTAACAACTATCCAAGAATAAATTTAAATTTGATATGTTGATTTTAGTCATATCTTGCAGACCAGTTTTATCATTAGGAAAAGTTGAAAACATTTCTTTTCGTCTAAAAAAAACCCCAAATACATTTAGGTTTTATTGATCCTCTATTTTTTCTCGAGACATCTTTTTGGATCTTGGACATGAAACTGTGATTGCACCAAGAATTAGCTTTTTGTTGTTTTTGAATATCTGAATGTAATATAAAACTGGAAAGGAAGCAAGCCTTAGTCTTATTTTTATTCAGGTCCTGAAATTACTTATAGTAATAACGACAAAGAAACTGTAGGACAGAGATGGGGGGGGGGGGGCATATTTAGCACAATTATAATTTTGGCATATTTATTTGTTTATTCATTCAATATTTATTTATTTATTTATTTACTTTTTGATTTTTCAATTACTTATTTATTCATTTACTTGTTTATTTACTTACCTATTTATTTATTGTTTATTCATTATATAGTTAGAGGAATTAAAATAAATTCATGTTGTTTATATTGAAATTACTGCATGGAATAAACATTTGGAATATCATCTTTTACAGTAACGTGCTTGTCTAATGTCATACCATATATTCCAAATAATTCATATTCACATACATTTTGATTACTTTTAAACCGAGGTTTCGCAATTACATATCTCTTATAAAGATTAATACTGATGAATATTTATGGGTTGAAGCATTGCTTGGATTACATTCATGTATACTTTGTCCTGAAATAAGGTTATTATACATCAGAAAGCGGCGTCCCGCCCCCATTCTGCAAAGTAAATAATGTTTCCATAGCTTTAAACTGTCAAATATAATAGATAGTCATGCCTTTAGAAAAGAAGTCAAGAATGCATATTATTTGACATAAGTAAATTGATTTATTTTTTCATGCCGATTATAAAATTAATGTTGTAGTTAACCATTTGTTCAAAGGGACACTTCATGCATGTTTATCATCTTTTCGAATGTAAACAGCAACATGAAAGGGACATTCAACCATATCCTCCCTTTTTTATCATTAAGAAAACGGGGAGGGGACAATGGACGATGTATAATAAGACTGTAAGTGTATATTAAAATAATTCTGTTAAAATTTCAAACTGTATGTTAAAACATTAAATATTAATATACATATGTATCGATATGTTAATACATTAAATAATATTTCGATATGTTAATACATTAAATAATATATCGATATGTTAATACATTAAATAATATATCGATATCACAATATTATCATCAAGGTAATGATTTGTGTTTAAGAAAAAAAAGTTAAACTGTTTATTCTTTAGCTAGTACATTTATCAGACTCATATAAAACTTGTGAGTTGTTGAGGAGGGAGTTGCCGGGGGGAGGCGCTATTGAAATTGATAGAGTACAAAATAAACTTTATCCCTTTACCATGATTACCACCATTTTGCTTCATACTCTCAAACAGGATGTGGCCGATCACACGACGCCATGAAGCATACGGCAATTGTAACCATTCGCACGTAGATTACTTGACAGATTACTTTTTAAGCTGCTATGAACTGTCAGCTCCTTTTTTGTTATCTCATTTACTAAATAGCGTTTTCTATATTTCTTTAAGATGTAACCCTTTTTACAGTTGTCTGGTGTATCAAAGTATGATTTTTCTATGTGCATAATGATCAGGTTCTGAAATTGAAGTGCAACAGTTACTTTTTATGCCCCCGGATCGAAAGATCCCGGGGAATATAATGTTTTTGTCCCGTCTGTCTGTCTGTTTGTCTGTCTGTCTGTCTGTTGTCAACGTTCACCTAGCTCATAACTATTGCGCTGTCAAGGGTAAGGTTTTAATATTTGACATGAGTGTTCATTATGACGAGACCTTTTCATTGGTACAGAAATTTTTGATCATGTGACCTCAACTGTGACCTTTGACCTATATTTGAAAAACTTTAACATTGGCCATTACTATTGCACTGTAGTCTACGTCCCACTCCAGAACAGTGTTACCATCGGGGGCATAGTGTTTCATAAACACATCTTGTTTTCTTTGGAAAGAGACCGAGTTAATTCACTCATTTATTTTTCAAGCAAAACTAACCGGTACTTAATTCTATCACTAGTTTCATAGCATGGCTGTTCTATTTGTCATTT